GGTTTTAAGGCTGTTCACTGAAACACAGACATTTTCCACCTTACAAAAGAGGGAGTGCCTGAAGCTGAAATAAACTGTACTAAAGACACTAATTCTTCAGCTCGGGAGACTCTATCACTGAGCCTTGTAAAAGTCCCTTTTGCTATTTTCTAGCAAACAGCAGGCACTTAAAATTTGAGTTTAGACCAGAGATAAATAAGTGTCTTTGCACCTTGTGGCTGGAGGTTTTCTTACCTGGCAGAACGGACTCGATCCACACCGGGGCATGGCCACGTAGCGTGAAGCCAAAGCTTCTGTTGCCTTTATAAACTCGCACAGTTCTGCAGGTAAAAAAAGCAGATGTGAAATCAGAGATTAACAAATATTTGGTTCTTCTTTCCCAGCCCCACCAAAGCTCCGTCAGCCCAGGTATCCCCTGAGTGCCCAAGCGCTTGATGCTCGCTGTGTCCCTGCAAGGTCCCCTTTGACACCAAAGTGGCTTTCAAATGCTTTTGGGGTTTCAAACCCCCAAACGTGCCCTGCCCGCACTGCCAGCCCCTCCTGCCTGCAGCCTGCCCGTGCCGGGGAGCAGAGGGAGCCCGCGGTGCTGGGCCAGCTTGGGGTGGTGGGGTGGGGAGTGATTTGGGGGTGCTAGAAATGGCCCAGACAAAACCTCGGGGAGGGCTGGGGGGATCTGGATGCCACTGTTTTAGGGGCAGAGCCCCTGAGCATAGCCTCTTGCTCTGCATTAATTACCGAATTCTTAAAACTCCCATCCAGTCCTTCAATGTGTTTTTAAAGTGGAACGTGGGATATAGCTTATGTATTACACAGCACGAGAGAGACAAGGTGTTTTGGGGGGCAAAGCCCTCGTAGGCTGCTGAGAGAAATTAAATTTGGCTAGAAAATTTTGGAAGGAGCATTAGGAAATCTCTCTGCTGGGAGGCTGACTGGAGCTGGGTGTTGCTCCCCATGGGGAGCCGGGGGAAGGCAATATCACCGACATCATTTACAACCAGAAAGCCTGTTGTAGGGACTGATCCTACACTGGCAGAGAGAGCGACTCTGCTGGAACTGGATTTTGCATAAGTCACACCAAAAATTATCCCGGCAGGAAGGTGTGCTGCAGCCAAACACGCTGGGGGTACCAGCTGGAGGCAGGGGAATAGCTCGGGACGTGCCTGTGGCAGCGCAGCCCCTCCCGGGAGCATTCCCTGGTTTTGCTGGCAGACCCAATCCTGCTCTCCTGTTTGTGGGACGGGGCTGGGAACGGAGCCGGAGCGACCAGCAGCACGGCAGGGATCCTCAGCCCTCCAGGGCTGCTGAGGCCTGGCCCTATGGGCAGCGGGAAATGGGTTCATCCCCTGCGCACCCGGGATTGTCCCGCTTGCCTCCCGCGGCCGAGGCCTCGCACCCAGACACCCACCGGGGCACGGCTGGACGATAAAGCCTGCTCTGTGCCTGGGTGCCCTGCATCCCACCGGCACGGCTGGGTGCCCTCCGTTCCACTGGCACAGCTGGGTACCCTCCATCCCACTGGCATGGCTGGGTACCCTGCATCCCACCAGCACAGCCGGGTACCCTGCATCCCACCAGCACGGCTGGGTGCCCTGCATCCCACCACCACAGCTGCGTACCCTCCATCCCACTGGCGCAGCCAGGTACCCTGCATCCCACCAGCACGGCTGGGTGCCCTCCATCCCACCAGCACAGCCAGTTACCCTGCATCCCACCGGCACGGCTGGGTGCCCTCCATCCCACCGGCACAGCTGGGTACCCTGCATCCTTCTGGCACAGCCAGGCACCCTGCAGCCCACCCAGTGCAGGAGCTGACATCCCCTCGCAGCCTGCAAGTGCTGTCTCAGCTCCTCAGGCGGCTCATCCCAGCCAGCCCTGGCAGAAAGGGTGGCCTGGAGCTGGGACAAGGGGTGCAAACGTGCCCAGCCTTTGAGAGGCAGAGGTCTTTGCTCATCCTCATCCCAGGAGGATTTCACCCACTCTGCACGCCAAAGACATCTCCTTTCCTAGTGCTTTCCCCGCTTTCCCTGGTATCCCTCTGCCATGCTGCCATCCATGCCAAATCAGACCCTGCCGTGTGAATGCGAGGGCATCCAGGAGAGGTGTTACCTGCGGGCAGCCCCCGAGGCCACATTGCTGGTGATGAGCGAGGCAGTTTTCCGCAGGCTCTTGCTGGCCTCCTCATGGCTGCGGGGCACGGAGGTGGAGACGAGGAGCCGCTCCTGGTGGTCCTCGCTCCGGCTGCGCCGCAGCCGATTGCTGTGCTGCTCACTCTTGGAGCGGCAGAGCTTGCTGATCAGGCTCTGTGACACCACCTCGTCAAACCGCTGCCGGTGCTTCTTGGGGATGAAAATCCTGGAAAAATGAGACAAGGGAAGGGAGTGAGGTGTGGGGCTGGAGCGGCTGTGGCCCAGGAGCTCTAGATCCAGCCATACTTGGGAAAGGAAAGGTCAGAGCAGCCCCAGCCCTTTGTGTGCTTTTGGCCTCAGTCCTCCCTGGAGCTGCAAGTGCCAGGGCCGGGGATGCTGGGGACGCCGGGGACACCGGCTGCATCTCCTGCCCCGTCCCATGCATGGCTCCACTGGCGCAAGGAGGTGGGACCCCTCCACAGTGCAGTGCTCACAGAGACTGATTCAAATGGCTCAGTTCCTCCTCATGCATCCCGTCCCGGACCCCCTCACCTGCCGGTCCTGGTACACCGATGATGAGGTTCAGCTCGAGTCCCAGATTAATCGCTTCCCCCCACGCCAACAGCCAGGGAGCCGGCCGGGCAGGGGAGGACCCTTGTCCCCGTGGTGCCCATCCTGTCGCAATGCTGCTCCTTGCTGTGTGGTACCCACGGCCGCGGGTCCCAACGTGCAAGTGCCCCCCCCCGTGTTGCCAGTGCCAAACCACCTCCTCCAGACCTGCTTCTTCCCCAGCACATTCTAGGACCCCCAAAATATTGCCCCCCATCTCCTGTCCCAGCCCCGTTGCTGGGAGCCCTGGACTCCACTCTCCTGGGGAGGAGGATGGGCACGGTGATGCTGCAGGCAAGGGGACATCACTGGGAACGTGCTCCATTTCAGGTCAGCTCCCCTCTGCGTGGTCGGAGCTGCTCTGCCAGCAGCCAAGTGGCCTTTGTGTCCCTACAAAGACCCCCGGGGACCCTCGGGGGATGCAGAGTGAGCGCAAAGCGGGATTCCAGGAGAGAGCAGGGAGGGTATCTCTGCACCGCTCGCACCCCGCCCGGGGCTGCATCCCTGTAACACAGGGAAACATTTTTTTCTTTTCCTTTTCCTTCTGCCATTGCAAGTGAGACGCTGTCACCTCGCTGACCTACTCCTACCCTCCCGTTTGCACATTTAGGGGCTCCTGGAGGAGCTGGTATCGCTGTGTGTTTCTATAGCAACTCTTCCCCACACCCGTACGGGGCTGTCGCAGTTGCATTTGCTCATTAGACAATACCGTCTTGTGAGGTTCATTAGTGCTCTTCACCTCGTGGCACATGAGAACGCGCTCCCTACATTAACACAAACTCCAACACTTGCGGCGGAGGAGGGACGCGAGCATCACTTCCAGACCGCCCGGGGGGCACATCTCCCGGGGAGCACACCTCCCAGGGGGGCACCAACTGGGCCAAACTGGCAGAGCTGGTGTCACAGGACCCAGAGCAACTTGCTCCGAGGGGCTGCCCCTTCCTGCGGCCAGCACGGCGTGGCTGTGATGAGGGCCGGCTGCTAACGAAGCGCGGCTGGAGAGGCTAGGGCTGGCGGGGGGCTCCCGCGGGTCTCTCCCATCCCTCAGGCAACTTCACCAAAGGAACCCGAAAGCCTGGGTGAAGCCAGAGGAGAAGGAAGGGGAGGCTTCAAATCCCAAATCTACCAGGACCAGGACGTCTCTGTTTCCCCCCAACAACAGGCAGAACTCAAAATAAGAGCTGACGCTCTTGCTGAGGAGGAGCAGACAGATCGCAAGCCATCCTGAGGCTAACATATGTTCATGCAAAGCATTTGGTGATAATTTAAAATAAGTGACACGTTGGTACAATTCACAGTCAGTTTGTGATTAAACAGCAACTAGAAAAGAGCGAAATCACGCTAATAAATAGTTCACCCAGCTGTAAGCAGGCTCCTGCGGGAACGCAGGCTGCTGCAGCCCCGTGGCAGGGGAGGACACGGCACGACGGCAGCAAATCCCGGCAGGACCCCACGCCTCTGCCCTGGGAGAAGTCCGGCTTCTTGCAGGCAAAACGAGCACGCTCCCATTTAAGTTGGCCAAATTAAATTGGCCCTGCTCGTTCCAGCAAGGTTGTCCCACTTTGCGCCGACTGCTGCTTTGCCTGCGGCTGACAAACATCAGGGTTGAGGAGCAAAGCACGGCTAGCTCCATAACCAGGCACAAGGACGTACTTAAGGGTTTCACCATGAATTCACTCAGTGCTAGAAGTAAAACAGTGTCTTAGCAAGGAGAGGAGCTAAGTGACTGATAAAAATAATCCTATTAAAGCACGCAAAATAGTTTCCTTCTGCAAAATCCTTTGAGAGAATTTGCAGTGTGGCCTCAGGGAGCCCGGGATGGCCCCATGCCACAGAGCTGCTGGGGGCTGGATTCCCCCGAGCTCCCCGACACCCTGCGGTTCGGCGGGTGCTGGCCTCCAAACTGCGTGAGCGCAGGTCTGGTCCTTAACGAGGGACCCACCAAAGGCAGCACGTGGGGTGGCATCGGACAGCGTTGATGCCTCAGCCTGTCCTCTGCCCCGGTACAATGCCGCCCGTGCAGCATGCACCAGCACAGGGCGGACGGAGTCCCGCGCTTAGCGGGAAACCACAGCTATTTCTGCAGCTCCCTGCTGTCCCGCGGGACAAGCCCAGCTTTGCCTGTCAGCGGGGAGCACGGATGCACCCACCCTGTTTGCAGAGGTCAGCCTGGTTCCAGGGGCAGACCCCCCCGTCCCAGCAGCCCCGCCGGCTGCACGTGCCCATGGGAGGGCTTGGGAGCCGTGCAGCACCGACCTCGTGCCTTCAGCTTCCTCTTCCTCCTCCTTGCACACTCCAGGTGAGCCCTGGCTCTGTTCCCTGTTGGGGGACGTGAAAGGTGTCCCCAGCCCTGCGCACTGCAGCCCTGTGCCCACTGCCTGGCCCCGGTGCAGGGTGCGCTGAGCCCCAGTGCACTAACCCCTGCAGCGGTGCCAGCACACGCTCATCAGGAGGATGCAGTCCGCTCTAACTCACGAATGCTAAGTCAGGGTGTTTTCCAGGCCGGGAGAGGCCCCGGAGGCTGTGAGCTGCTTTGCCTTCGCTCCCTCTCCAAAGCAGCCTGGCCAGGACGCCAGCACGCTGCTGCGGAGCGGGAAACCACCCGGCAGGAGCCCGTCTGCCGGCACAGCTGACCCCAGCCACTCGGCTCCCGGCTCCGGGGCTCGCTTCGGCAGAGGATGTTTAGCACATCCCGGTCTTTGTCACACTCGCTGTTCTTAAAACTCCCAGGCGGGTCACTTGCAGCTCACCTCCGAGCAGACAGCCCCGCTTCTGCAGCCTGCGCTTGCTGAGAGCTGCCTCCCGCACCGGCCCAGCGCCATGGAGAACACCTTTCACGAGGGCACACGTCCTGCGACGGGCACTGAGCTCACCCGAACGGTTCCACCCGGAGCTGGGTGCTGAGACTCGCTGGTGCAGGATGCGTCCACTCGAGCGGGACAGCGGCTCCAGCCCCGGCAGGAGCAGGTGAAAGCAGCCCCAAGTTTGCTCAGAGCTCGAGCTCAGCCGGGGCAGGAGCGAGGGGTCCCCGGTCCTCGCTCCTTCACAGCCCCTGCACCATGCAGCACCCCAAACCCCCGTCCTCACCGTCCATCCCTTTGGTGGGCTATAGTCATGGAGACAAAGCAGACCCAGACGTGCTCTTCCTGCCTCTCCCCAGCCCCTCACCCCGAATTTTTCAGCTGAGCTTTGCTCGGCTCCCCCCAGCCCCCGTGCCGCCGCTGCGGTGGGC